TGTCTCCATAATCCCCTTCATGTTGGCGTAGGTTTCCAGCCCCCGTCCTGACGAGCGGCCGCTGGTTTGCTTTAAATGGGGGGGGTGGCTTTTAATGAGAGGTGGGAGCGGGATGAAGGCATAGCAACCTCGGAAAGTGGTGATGGAAAGATAAAGCCCTTAGTGCGCACCCGACAGCCGTGGGCTATCCCATTGCGTTTTAGCACTCCGGGCTGGAGCTGAGCTCACCCCAGCATGCCCACGAGCACACCTCCCAGGCCTTCCGAGGTCTGAAGAGCCGGACACGCAGTGCCCTCTGCTTTTTTCCTTCTGGACTATTTCTGCCTGTGGTTTGAATGAGTTTCCCCAAACTCTGTGCAGTTCCGAGGAGGAGCAGTATGAGCGGGTGTTGGCAGCTGCTCTCCGACTGTCCCTGCGGGTGAGGCTTTGGCTCAGGGTGCCCTCTTCCTTGGCGTTGCAGGTCAGCCTCAATGATTCCCACAATCAGATGGTCGTTCACTGGGCGGGAGAGAAGAGCAACGTGATCGTGGCCTTGGCCAGAGACAGCCTGTCTTTGCTGGGTCCCAAAAACAGCGACGTAAGTACTGCAACCTGGCACTGTCCCGGGGGCCTTCTCTGCTTCTGTGCGGGGGGCTGCTGAGCTACAGCCTGCCTTTCTCTCGTGTGCTGGGAAGGTGAAAGAAAGGCCCGTGAGTTTGAGTGCAGAGGCAGAAAAAAAAAATTTAATATCCTCTGTGTTGCCCCACGGGTTCGAGCCCGGAAAGGCTGGCTCGGCCAATCTCTAAGGCTTTCCTCCCCTGGAGTTTTCTGAATTTTTACCAAATCTGTCAGAAGAGAAACAAGAGCTTTGCACTCCTCACGCTGGGGCTTCTCCTTTGCAGGTTTATGTGTCTTATGACTACGGGAAGAGTTTTAAGAAGATTTCGGAGAAGTTCAGCTTCAGCGGGGGGAACAGCAGCGAGGTGGCCATCGCCCAGTTCTACCACAGCCCGGCCGACAACAAGAGGGTGAGGATGCAGCAGCCGATGCCAGCGGGGCCGCATCGCTTTATTGCCGCCGATAGCGTGGACGTGGCACGGCCCTCGGGCCAGAGGAACTGGGTGTGCGGCCACCCCCACCCAGATCCATGGGTCACGCTGAAAACCCGCCTTTGCACAGGGCAGGTGCTCACATGGGCCCTTCTGCTGCGGCAGCGGGGAGGGACGGGTCCCTCCCGCAGGCTGGAGGCTGTTTTTGCACGGTCCTCTTGCTTCCCGGGAGAGCCCCTCGGGCCATCCCGGGGGTCCTTGGGGCAGAGGCGGGATGTGCCAGGCACACTGCCGTACCTCCGGTATGGCTCTGTGATGCTCAGGAGCATCGGAGTGTGGCAGGAGGGGGGTGGCTGGGGCAGGCAAATTCCCCTCGTCCGGAATTTGCCCTCCCCAAGGCTCCCCCGGGACGTGTGCCTTTCTTACTGCTAGCCTGAGCTCTGCTCTGACCTTCTGGAGGGTGACCGCCTGCTTTCCTTCTTCCTTATCGGTCCCTCTCTTCCCAGTATATCTTCGTGGATGCCTTCGTCCCGTACCTCTGGATCACCACCAACTTCTGCAACAATATTCAGGGCTTCTCAATTCCCTTCAGAGCAGCAGACCTCCTCCTGCACGGCAGGAACCCCAACCTCCTCTTGGGCTTCGACAGGTCTCATCCTAAAAAACAGGTGAACACTTCTGCTTAGACGGGAGGGCCAGCAGCCTGCCTCTACCCTGCTGTGGCATTCCCCTGGCCTGTCGCGTGCCCCACCGCCCTTACGGCGTGCCAAGAGCCACCCTGCCTCGTGCCGGCGCCGCATCAGTTCGTGCTTTGACCGCCCAGAGTGTCTGACCTTGGGTTACTGTATGCAGAGCTGTCCCAAATTGGCCAGGACACCCCCTTCCTTACAGATCCGCCTGGTTTCTGACCTCTGGAGCGGTGAGGATATAGTACCTGCAGATGGCCGCCGTAAATGCTTCCTTTCCCTGTTTGTTCATTTATATTTATGCTGGTCCTTCATCCGCACTGCTCCTGACAGTATCGATCTCCCCGACTGTTGCGGTCGTAACTCGCCGCGGAGTGCTGGCAGCTGAGCCAGGACTGACCTCTGCAGTATTTCATGCGGGCATGTGGTTTGGCTTTGGGTCTTGCATAACAAATTGCTTCTTGAAAACAAACGCTTTTTTTTCCCCTGGAGCTTCTGGGTAGTTTGTAAATAATTACAGCACCTTCAGATAGGTGCTGCAGGCACAGGCAGTGTAAGCAAAACCTGGAGATGAAACAACCATCCCCCAACATGTGAATGGGGACAGTCGAGCAGGGTACGTGCACAGCCCGCGCTGTTTCAAGTCTGGTTGTAGCAGGGTGCGTGCTGGGTGCCGGTTGATGCCTTCCTGGGGGGACAGAGCTGGCCGGGAGCGGTACCTTTGCTGGGTGGGCTGCTGGACTGACTGTCGAGGCTGGAGTCAGGCTGGCCATATCCGCGTACCTGCAAAAAAGAGGCAAAAGTTGCAGCTCGGGTGCCATCATAGCGCTTAGAAAAAAACCAGGCAGGTTTCAGAGACACGTGCCCTTCGAGGGATGGGATCCGCAGAGGAGCTGATGTGGCTGCGGCCTGGCGTGTTTATTGCTGCTGCTTTCGTTGGTGCAATGAAAGATACTATCTCTCCTCTTGACCTTTGCCTTACTGATGCCCGCAGATCTGCAACAACAGCGTGTCGCTGTGCTTGGGGTTGTAACGGCCTCTGAGGGGGAGACAGCTCTACCCAGATATTTACCCTTGCTAACGCACTCCACAAGTACATTATAACACGTTATTTTTATTTCTGAGTTAGTGTAAAACCAGGTGGATCAACAGACAGTGGGAAATCTTTCTGATAGGAGACTAAAGCACAATTTTTTCCTGTTCGGATTATTCTCCTGCAGGTAGAAAGATTGCTGTTGCTTTGGGTAGCTGCCACATAGAGAGGGGTCATCAAAGTAGTTCATGGTTTTGCGATGGATGCACGTCCATCCTGCCTTTGCTGCCTGAGATTGCGTCTCTTAGCGGATTGGGTCTGTTTGGTTGCCCAGTCCCACTGGCATCTCTCACCTTTGTCGTTGCAGCTCTGGAAATCAGATGATTTTGGCCAGACCTGGATAATGATTCAGGAACACGTGAAGTCTTTTTCTTGGTACGTATCACACTTGTGCGTTACGCCCAGCTCCTGTCTTCTCTCACTCCTCACTTCTTGCCTCATTTGCTGCCGTGCACAAACCAAGGACCTGGGTACCAAAGCATGCTCTGGGCCCGGCCCCCTGCTCCCCTCGCCCAGCAGAGACCCTGTGCCACGGGGATGTGGCATCACGGTGTGACGGGAGAAAGCCACCGACACAGGCACCCGGGGATACTCCACCTTCCCCCCCGGGTCTTGCACGCCCACCCCATCTCTTGAAAGGGCTCCTGCTCCTTGGTACCCGCTGCCTTCTGTGTTACTCTGTGAGTGCAGAAATACCACCACCACCACCTTTTTTATTCTTTCCAGGGGAGTTGAGCCCTACGATAAGCCCAATACAGTGTATGTTGAGCGGCATGAGCCTTCTGGGGCCTCAACTGTCATTCGCAGCACTGATTTCTTTCAAAGCCGAGAAAATAAAGAAATAATCCTGGAAGATGTTGAAGACTTCCAGCTCAGGGACAAATACATGTTTGCAACAAAGTCCGTGGTAAGTACCACGCGAGCAATTCACCGCCGAGGGTGATGGTTGACGCACAGTACCAGGCGGTAGCTCTGCTTTCAGCTGGGACCTGCGTCTAAAGCGCAGTGAGAGCATTTGCTAGGGACGCCGCTACTCGCTGCTGTACCTCGCAGCCTTCGGACCTCGCGTTTAGCTTGTCGTGGAGGTGTCGCTCAGACTACCTGCAGCTGCCTTCCCCGCTTGACCTAGCGCTGCCGTGGACAAAGCAATATCTACCGATGCCGCTCTCCCGGCGGGGCTCGGAGCGGCGGCGTTTCCGTACACTTGCATTCAGCAGGCTGGGCAGAAATAGGTCAGACTGCAAAGTGCTGGGTCCCAGGGAAAATCAGAGGATGCTGGGGAAGGCAGGCGAGGCGGGGATGGCAGGGGAAGGGTGGATGTGGCTCGGCAGCTCAGGGGTTAGGAGGCCGCTTGTCAGAGAGGATTACCATCAAACGTGGACTAGGTCCAAGCAGCCTGATGTGCTCCAGCCTGGTAATAGAGCTGGATTTTCGGTTTGCTTTCCTTAGGAAAGAGGATGCAGGTGAGTGACAGTGGTCTTTTGGTCCCCCTATACTTTCTGAAGCTTTCACTGAGGGCAAGTCCTTTACAGATGATCAGAGACATGACACCGGAGGGGTAGAGTCCTATTCCTTCTAGAAGTTAAGGAGCAGTTTTCTTTTTAGAAAATGCCAGCATTGCTTTTCCCCCTGCTACTGCCTTTGAGTCTGTTTTAAGGAGCAACCTTTGCCATTTAGGGTGACTCCTTGCAAAGCCGTATAAGGTTTCCTAGGCAGTAAGCAGCAAGCGTGTCACCTCCAGCCACCCGAGCAGCCGCAGCGGTGTCCGGTGCTTGCAGGGGATGTGTTTGCAGAGCACTTTCAGTTTCTCAGCAGTCTCTCTTGCCGGTAGTACAGCCTGCAGCTCTTGGGGCCCATCCCCTTGGCCCTGTGCCTGCTGTGGTTTGCAGAAGATTTTATTTAGGCTTGTTCTTGGTGTTGGGTGAAACACGGGAGATGGTCCATGTCTCTGTGGAGGAGCCACTGGGCACAGCGTCCTGAAAGCATGAAGCGGTTTGAGTTGGGACCTTTCCAAGCATGAACTCAATTTAGGGGTTCTTCAGAGTTCTTCCTGCTTCTGGAGGGCTCAGGTGTCCCAGGGGCCACCATCGTGCTTTCTCCTACAGCTCTAATGACTGGTGTTACACTAAACAACATTTAAATCACCCGTATTCCATGCCGAGGCAAAGACCGATGGGAAACACAGAGGCTGGGAGGGAGGCCAGCCTGGCTGCAAACCCCTGATTTGGAAATTATATCCCCAGGTCCGGAATCGGGCACTTGCATCAAGCCTTGGCCGCAGCAGGAGTGGCGCTGGGGAGCAGACAGGCTGGGTGGCAGAGGCACGGAGGACTCTGACTGCTGCTCCTCTCCGCAGGAGGCACGGTTGCTTAGGGATACGGAGACTAGGAAAATCAGGCCACTTATTTTTGGAGCCTAAATCTGGGTTTGGGTTCTTACCGTTGGCATCCTGTATGAAATAGGTTGCCCCCAGCTTTTCACTTTTTTGACTTCACGCTGGTGCCTTTCATTTTGTGCAAATCGTTAAAAATAGGAAGGAAAGGACAGGCTGCTCTGCAGAAAGAGGAGGAATTAAAACCAGCCTCCCTACCTCCACCCGACCGGCCAGAAAGGGCAATTTCTCTCCTTGCTGAGCGCTGGCTGCAGCGATGTAAATCATGAGCGGGGAGCGCTGCTCCCCACCGTCAGTCCCAGCTGCCACGCTTTGCCCGCACGCAGGGAGGGTGAAGTCCCAGGCACGCGGTTCGTGGGTTTGCCTCAGTCTGCCTTTTGGCCACTGCTGGAGACGAGGGTGCTTTCGGGGGCGAGAGCTACTCCTAACGTGTCCCTCTGCTCTGCCGCAGCGTTTGCTAGGCAGCTCGCAGCCGCCTTCGGTCCAGCTCTGGGTTTCCTTCAACCGCAAGCCGATGCGTGTGGCACAGTTTGTAACCAAGCATCCAATTAAGGTAAGCGGTGATTTCCGAGAAGACCTCCTCTCTCCCTCCTTTACCAAGGATGCCCTTAGATGTCAACAGCAGTTCTCTGTGTTTCACCAGACACTGCAGGAGTTGGAGCGGGGAAGGGACCTCGTGTGACCCTGTTTGGGGGGGTTGGCTGAGCAAAAACTCATGTTAGGGTGATCTTGTGGTTTACATGATGGTACTTTATTCTAGCGATTCATGTCTCTGGAGAAATACTGGAGTACTCAGAGCACTGTGCAGGGCCAGTACTGTCCTGGGTGTGAGGCTGTCTGGAAAGAGACGGCCACCAACTTCCTCCGGCACTGGTGACAGCAGCAAAGCCCAGATACCCAGAGAGGGGCTGATCTCCGTGCTCCATGCTTTAGCTCTGCTTTTGGGGACCTTACCTCTTCCCATGGCGTGGGCCGCTAGGTCGCTGAGCATGCGCCGGTTCCACCGGCATGGCCCGGAGCATGTCTTCTTTGCAGGCAGAGGAAGCCCAGGGGGACAGCCAGGGTTTGCAAAGAGTCTGTGATCCGTGAACCAGACGTGCTGTGGTGTCCCCAGTCTGGCAGGGACAAAGGAGAGCCCGAGAAGTACGCTAGGCATTTGGCAGAGCAGCGGGGCGCGCTCCCGGCTGCGAGATGCCCCTGGCCTCGGTGGGGTCCAGGCAGAGGGAGATCCGGCACCGATGGGGCTTGGCACACAACGCTGCTCCCAGGGACTTTGCCAGTGGGTTGTGAGGGATCGCTGGAGCAGAAACACAAAAGAAAAAGCAGAGGGAAAATACCTGCTTGCCAAGTGGAAAAAGTACAAATGGGTGGATGAAAGAATTAACTTTCAGCTAGCTAAGAGTAAATGCTAGACTGGTCCGTATGTAAACCCTGCTTGTATGCCCACACGTATGAAGCCTGCTCGCCTGTCATTTACATCCCAAAGGAATATTATGTTGCCGACGCCTCGGAGGACCAGGTATTTGTGTGTGTCAGCCACGATAACAACCGTACCAACCTCTACATTTCGGAGGCAGAAGGCCTGAAGTTCTCCCTGTCTTTAGAAAACGTACTCTACTACAGCCCGGGAGGAGCTGGAAGTGACACCTTGGTCAGGTAATGTGAGACCTAATTGTCTGTGGTAAATGAGAACATCGGCCAAAGCCTCTGTAGTTTTTGGCTCTGTTTCATCAAAGCATTGCCCTGATCCCTGGGCGTGAGAGTCCCCCACTCCCCAGCCCCAGGGAGGCTGCGATTCACTGATCCCAGCCTTTGCATTTCCACGCAGGTATTTTGCCAACGAGCCCTTTGCAGACTTCCATCGCGTTGAAGGCGTGCGGGGCGTCTACATCGCCACCCTGATCAACGGCTCCTTCAGCGAGGAGAACATGCGCTCCGTCATCACCTTTGACAAGGGGGGCACCTGGGAGCTGCTGCAGCCCCCGGCGCAGACGCGCTACGGGGAGCAGATAGACTGCGAGGTAGCACGGGGCGAGAAGGGGCAGGGGGGCGAGCGCGGGAGAAACGCCCCGCAAAAAGAGGCTGAAACGGCAATCCCGCCGCGAGGGAGTCCCTCCTCGCCTTTCCAAGCGGAGAGGGCCAGACTAGGTGGGACGAGGGCACGGGTGAGCGCGGGACAAAGGTTTAATGCCACGGTGTTTTGCTTTTCCAGTTGTCTCAGGGCTGCTCTCTCCACCTGGCCCAGCGCCTGAGCCAGCTGCTTAATTTCCAGCTGCGTAGGATGCCCATTCTCTCCAAGGAGTCGGCGCCGGGACTCATCATCGCCACCGGTACCGCTTTCCTTCTCGCAGCCGCGCAGGGGCTTGGGGCGCGTTGTTTTCAGGACGTGAAGAACTTGGCAGCATCTAGTTTGTATTTGCAGGTTACAAAAATGCAATTAAACTGTACATTTTGCTGTCCCTTCTCTGTTGCAGTCCCCATACAGTAATTACAGCATGTATATTTTACTGGTGCACAGTGACGTGAGAAAACTTGCCTACTTTATTCTGATCCTCTTTCCTGCCACTATCCACATGAAGGGTTTCTTGAACATATAGAAATTCCTGTTTGTCTCGCTCTTTTACTGAAGAAAACATTTGCACATTTTGTTTGATCATGTTTCTAGCCATAGATTCTTCCCCAGCTGCTTTTAAAACTTGTAATTGTCTTTAAAATTCTTGCTTTTGAAGGGATTAGTTTATAGTGTGAAGAATCAGCTCCTCAATCGTTGTCATTTTGTTCACAGATAAAAATAGTTTAGAGGTGTCTGGCTTCATTTTAAGCAATTGCTTTGCATTTCTTGAGAAGAATGATTTCTCCTGTTCTCCTAGGCTCCGTTGGCAAGAACATGGCAAGGAAAACCAACGTCTATGTCTCAAGCAGTGCCGGAGCAAGGTGGAGGGAGGTAAGGCCACTCTTTTGCTTGCCAGCTCAGCCAAGGCGGTGGTGCAGCACGTAGGACATCAGCAGCAATGTAGACAAGTGACGTTCAGCCTTCGGGCGTGAAAGGTGACCTCCATGTACGCATCCAAGGGCTGGAAGTTGCTGAACATCCCTTGAGACCAAGGCAAAAAGGTCTTTAGATGAAGGATCAGGCATGGGTTGGCATAGAGGTGAGCCTCGTGGTGAAGGCGGTGGGTTCAAATGCAGGAGAGCTCCCTCCTCCATTTGTTTTCTTCAACTGGCAGGACTTGCCCCTGGCATGGGGCATCTGGCCTCTTTTAGACAGAACTGACAGCCAGGACTTTGTATGTGAGAGTGTCTGGGGAGGCTCTGGCATCTTCCAGAAAAATGGGATGTTGCCCTCGGTTTATGGGGAGTTTGATGCTGTTTACTAAGTGGGTGTTCTGGTCTGCGGCAGTATTTGTGGTCTCCCTGTGCATTCTGCTGCGAGTGTAATATGGTATTTCAACATCTGCAAGCTATTTAATCCCGTGAATTAAATGGCCTCCTTCTCCTCCCGTAAGTGCTGCGCGGTCTGGGTTAATGTCTGGGCAGCTGCAGCGGCGGTGGGGACACGCCACAGGTCTGGCTGCTGCCAAAGCCAACCGCGGTTCAGAGGCTGGCCCCGGCTGAGGGCGGGCGCCTCCGGCATTCGGCTGGGGAGCGGCCTGGGCACCCGCCGATTCTCCCTGCGGGAGCCCTGCAGCAAGGAGCGCTCACGGCCAGGGAAGCGTAGCCGAAAGCTGAGACTTTCAGGTGCCAACCTCCCCTGGCTCGCAGGCAGGTTTGCATAGAAGTGCAATTAAAACATGCCGAGGAAGCGTTGACCCGCAGTTAACAATGCCGAGCTCCTGACTTATTCGGGCCCTTTGTATTGTGAGCGGAGGTGCAGAATGACCCAGCAGTGTAGTTCCTCAGCTGAGAAGCAGTAACACAACTCCTTCCCCTCGGCTTTGGCAAGCAGCAGGCTGGAAGGCTCGTTGCTCTCCAGATCACTGGTACGGTCTCACAGCGCCAAAAAGAAAGAAACAATGCATTCGGTGTCCTGTGCAAGAACATCCCCAAGTGTGTTAGCATGTACTGTGAGCAGGGCCAGGCACGTACAAGCTCTCTGGTTTCATCCTGAGCTGCCCTGGGCTCCCCAGATAGGAAAAAGTAAAGGTGATTTTTGTGTTGGTGGTCACTAGAGCTGGAGGTGAGCGTGAAATACAAGTTTCTTTCTACAGGGTGGATTTTTGCACGCCACGGCTCCGTTTCTCTTTGAGCATTCAGAAAACCTTACAGCCTGAAAACCGACACTTATCTGCAGTCCTAGGAAGGCCTCGCAGACATGGCAAAGAGTTGCAGGCTGAGAGGGGAGGCGATTGACTCTGGCTTCATGTAACGGCACTTTGTCCATTAATTCTTTCCCTGCGCACAGCACGGGAAAAGGAGAGTCCAGGGCGCAGTGCTGCTCTTAAGCACAGCTATATATTTAGGGAAATTGGGCTGGCTGCTCTTGACAGCAGATGTTGGCCCATAAACACTTGAATCTCTGGCACCTCCAGAAACTTGCCTCAGCCCAGGCGACCCGAAACGTTAGCACGGGTCAGGCAGCATTTCGGACAAAGCACGCTTTCCAGCCAAGTTTCTCCCTTAATTCCGCCCTGCTCTGAAACACCCCTTGGCACCATTTCTCTTCCAGGCGCTGTCTGGACCCCACTATTACACCTGGGGCGACCACGGTGGCATTCTCGTGGCCATCGCGCAAGGCACCGAGACCGACCAGCTCAAGTAAGTGGCAGGGCAGGGGCATTGCTTCGGGTGCTCGGGCTGGGGCCGGGAGAGCGTACCCTGCGGTGGGCAGGACCTGCCCCTGGCAGCCCTCCCAATCTGCTTTCTCCAGGTACAGCACAAACGAAGGGGAAACCTGGAAAACGTTCACTTTCTCAGAGAAGCCGGTGTTTGTGTACGGCCTGCTTACTGAGCCTGGGGAGAAGAGCACCATATTCACCATCTTTGGCTCGTACAAAGAGAATGGCCACAGCTGGCTGATACTGCAGATCAACACCACTGACGTGCTGGGTAAGGGGACGGGCGACAGAGCCGTCGCTGACTGGTTGTGCAGGTGGGAGAGCCGTCCTGCCTCCATCCCGTGGTTTTGCAGGTTATGCACACTAATAAGCCCTCTCCTGAAAGCAGCCGGTCCCCACACCGCACAGCCTGCCCCGAGCACCCCCGTGAGATTTTGCCATACCATCTCCGGGGGGCTGAGAGCGAGGAGGGGACGCGGGAGGGGTTTTTGGAAGCCCAAATCAACCTAGAGACCTCAGGCTATTAACCAAACTATTTAAATCATTTAAGGCAGTTAGAATCCCACTGACAAGCATTGAGAGAGGGCATCGCCTGCGGGGGCTGCGCTCGGCTGCAGTACCACCACCCGCGTTTGGGCGCCCTGTCCCTTGTGTCTCTTGTCCACGTGGACACGGCTGCTGAAGGCACTCGTGTCCCCTGCGCTCTCCCCATACCCCCTCCCTCCTCGCTGAGGGATTTGTTGAAAAGGAAAAGGGAAAAAAAACGTTCTGAAGGCTTGTGCCTATGAATGTTTTATAACCCACTTCAGCTTTGATTGCAAGGCAGCATTTTAATCAAAGAGCAGTTAAACCCAGCAGAGGAATTTGCTTGACTAAAATTTATAACTGATTCCCTTGACGTTTTGTTAGAAACAGATCTGTTTGGTAACCAGAACAACTTCATTTAAATGAGGCATTGCAAATACACTGTCACTGCTTGTTGCCTCCTGTCACCGAGTGCCGCTGCACGCTCTGAGCTGAAATGCTTTGCCTTTTCTTTCGGACCAGGGCTAGAGCCTTGCAATCAGAGGGAAACCGCTCGTTTTGTGCCAGAGGGGGGCGGGGAGAGGGAAGGGGCAATTGGCATTATCATGGTGCATGGGTGGGTGCCAGCGCGCCTGCCCTCACTCCGAGCATCCTGGGTCTCGAATCCACTAGCCATGGCAAGAAGCCGAGGTTAACGCAGCCTCCTCGGAGGCAGGGCTGGCTGCTTGGAGCCTGCAGCTCCCCCCGAGAGGTCTTTTGCACCTCCTCTGAGAGCAAGGCTCTCTGTGTGTCCCCGGAGCGCGGCGCTGGCACAGGTACTGCGCTTTGCACATCCTTGCCGGGCACGCATCGGCAGCAGCCACCAAGGGACATCTACGGCTCTCTTGCTTTTAAACCCTTGGTCTGGGTTGCAGCAAGGACTATGCCTTTCTTTACCCCAACCCTTTTGCTTCTCTTAGGGGTCCCTTGCACAGAGAACGACTACAAACTGTGGTCACCCTCCGACGAGCGAGGCAATGAATGCTTACTGGGGCATAAAACCGTTTTCAAAAGGAGGACTCCTCATGCGACCTGTTTCAATGGGGAAGATTTTGACAGGCCTGTCATGGTCTCCAACTGCTCTTGTACAAGGGAAGACTTTGAATGGTACATACCAATTAATTTCTTTTAGTCTGGATTTTAAGTTTGAGATAGATATCTGTGACCAATCGCTCAAAGTGCACAAACATCCAATTTACTTAGCTCTTTGTATCGCTGCTTGATTTTATAGCAAGGAGGAAACTAAATAGACTGAAAACATCCCTTCATTAATAATGGGGCATGAGACTTAATTAATGTCTCTAGAGCCTTCTGGGAGCCCCTGAAGGCTTCTGTAGAAGAGGGAAGTATTGTTAATCCATCACCTTCTTTCAAATGTTGGCAGACAATTTCCCATCACATATAGAGATCCTCCACTAAAATGCTTAGTAACCCTTTAGCCGCAGGGATGCCACTGGCCCTGCTATATCATTTTTATCTGCAATTTGCCCATTGCTGACACTGCATAGCTCTTGGGATTAGGAAACACTCTGGCAATCTGATGCAAATGTTTGGGCTTAGTAAGTGAACTGTTTTTCAGAGACTGGACCTTCAGCAGAGCTCACAGCCAGACCACGCGAGTGCCCAGTACACGCAGTTAAGGACAGGGGTTCAGACCTGCCTGTCCGATGCCGAGGCAGAGACTGGAAAGGAGTCTGGCTTGTCATGAGCAGACTGGAAATAGGGCTGGTGGGATCTGATTCCTGCCTCAGAATCACAGCCCTGGACTCCTTGCAAAATCAGACTGACATAACCTCTTCCAGGGCGTTTTCCAAAGAACAGACGCAGTACAACTCCCATTTTATCGACAGGAAAAGCCAAGACACACATCAGTGACCTAAGGCAGCTAGCAGGAAAACTGGGGCTTGGAGCCAGATTTTGAGGGCATGCTGGCTCACCTACCCTAGTCTGCTCAGCCACTGGCAGGCTGATTTGCACAATGTCTTGAAAGACAGAAGCTGTCTGGCTGTAAGATATTATTATGCAGCTAAATACTGATAATAAATGAATGGACTGCTGAGATACTTTGGGTTCTTAAAACTTCTATACAAAAATAGAAGAGGAGTAATAGTATAGCATGGCTGCATTTTTTCCTTCTCCCCTTCCCTCCTTACACCTTTCTTCTCCTTGCAGTGATTTTGGCTTTAAACTGAGCGACGACTTATCGTTAGAAGTTTGCGTTCCTGACCCTGAATTTGCTGGGAAACCGTACGACCCGCCAGTCCCTTGCCCTGTTGGCTCAACTTACAAGAAGACTCGAGGGTATGTGTTGTACTTGGGAGGGGTACCTGATCTTCCAAATGCTGGGGATTTATGCTATTGGTGATTGAAAAAACCCCAAACAACCCCAAACCCCCCACACAAACGCCCCATGAGTGGTAGTAAACGAATTGCATGTTTGGACATCCATTGCAGCTAAGCACCACTGCTTATTCTTGCTGCTCGTGATGGTGTGTTAACAGTTTCCATGAAATAAACTGCCTGGCTGTATATGTTGCAGCTACCGAAAGATCTCTGGGGACACTTGTACAGGTGGAGACATCGAGTTGCGGCTCGAAGGGGAGCTGGTACCGTGCCCGCTAGCTGGTGAGTATGTACAGGATTGCTGTGGGCAACAAGGGCTTCATTCATAAAACCTTTGGCTGGTGCCTGAGGGACCACGCACAAATTCCCAGAGGGCTCTCAGACAAAACCTGTGACACAGGAGCCGAAATGCCTCGGTGGGTTACAAATCCATCATCTCCTGTCCTGTCCAGGGGCCAGAGAGCTTCTGAGGGACCTGCTCAGGAGCAGCTTCAGCCTGCGGTGCAGAGCCCTCCCTGCTCCTGAAGTCACAGGAGGCTGAAGCCTCCAGAGCGGGCTGCGGGCAGGAACCCTCTTATCCCGGTCATGTCCTCACTGTAGCGGGCTTGAACCCAACCAGAAAGACGTGACCAAAGATACCCCCGTCCTGGAGAAACCCTTGGGAAGATAGCACTCTGAGACAGGCCACCGTACTATTTGGGGCCAGACGCTGCCCTTTAGTCCTCACACACATCCCTGCCAGACTTCGCCTCTGTCCTTATTTTCTCCTCTCAAACGTACGAGGCAGTGAAACGGTCTCGTGCCTCTGTGCTGCCAAAGTTATTTGCATTCTGCTCATTACAGCTTTAATTTAATCTGCTGTCATGAGCTGCGTGATTAGCATGCTGCGGCGCAGCAGCTTGAGAGCGAGCCTGAGACAGGGAAGAGGCTCATGTAAGGGACGGGGCAGCTGAGCTGGTGCTGCGGGCAGGGCGAGCCCGGGGCCGTGGCTGAGCAGAGCCACAGCGCTGCAGAGCAGCCAGCCCTGCCAGCGTGAGGTTTCCCTGCATCGTCCTAAGATTTTTCAGGGTGCAAAAGATATTCCAGGTGCAAAACGGCCCGGGGGGTGCGTGGGAAAGCGTTCCCTGTGCTGGGACTCACGCCAATGCCGTGCTTAGTTTTCCTCCTTGTTCAGAGCCTGACATGTTATTCACCCCTCCGAGCCCTCTTGAGCTATTTGGAGAGCTGTGTAAGTCATGCTGAGAAGGGCCCTGCTGACTGAAAAATAAACCTGCAGTCCCCACTGGGCTGGGCTTTGAAGTGCTGTGTTCCCAGAGTATTTGCTGATCATCTTCAGATACGTGTTGGCTCGCACCATGGTAACACTTTCATGTACAGTATCTGTTTCTTATCTCCGTATAATCTCATTAGGGATGCACAGCCAGAGTTACTTATTGACATTAGCCTTACTCATTAATAGCGTTACTGGACTTTACCGGTAGTGTGCTAATGCCCGGGAGACTTTGTCCCGGACCAGGATCCCATTACGCTCGATTCTGTGCAAATTAGAAACAAAACCCACTCTGGGATACTAACTGCGGTGCCAGGGTCCCCTAGGACTTGCAGATTTACATCACTCCCACCTTTTTTATGAGATTTTTGAGGAACAGGAGATCAGAATTTTGTTTCTAATTGGCAGCACGCTAACATGGGAAGGAAGGGGTCAGGACTGTTTTTGCCGTCCTTACCTCCTCCTTCAGCCCCTGGGACAAACAACGGCCGCAGTGTGTTCCTGGGCATGAGCGTGCGCGTGGGACCCGCATAAGGCTATTAGCGCGTTCTCGTTAACCTAATCCTGCTGAGACAAAGGGCCTTTGCCTCCGTTACGCGGGGGTGCTAAAACGTACAGTCGGGTAAGAAAAAAACACCTGGTATTTTCTTTTTGCCCCTTGAGTAGCCTAAAATGGCCAGAGGCGTCTAAACAAGGCGCTGCCTGTTCTTGCAGAGGAGAACGAGTTCATTCTCTACGCCA